ATAGAAAGATGGACAGTATGATTGTGATTCAGATCACAAGAGATGGTGTGATATGATATGATATGAGCCTGGAGAGAAGCTTAACCATGAGTGATTTTTAAACCATGTTACAGATTTTTTCTTTAAACTGAAAGCAAAAAAACAAATTGAAGCATCCAAAGAAGTGTTTGGAATGATTTGATTTGTATTTTTTGAAAATAATTCTAGTTTCAGGGTGCAAATAGATTTTAGGGGGCTAGACTAATTTTCAGACAAATAGCTGGAATGCTATCTCAGAAGAGAGAGCAAGTCACTCTTTATTTTTTTAGCTTGGCCGGTGGCTAGTGGTGCTGGTCATTGAGACGGGGAACACAGAAGAGGGCCAAGTTTGTAGGAATAACGTTAGGACAAGATCAGGAGTTTAGTGTTGGGCATACTGTATTGAACACAGTCTTGAGCAGTCTAAGAGTGTATGTTAAGAAAATAGTTGGATGTATGGATCTGGAGCTCAGAAAGAATACAACCAGGTCAAAAATACAGAATGCATAAGAGCATAAAGGAATGGATCCTCATGCGTTGTAGGAACAACTACCACACAATCTGTTAAAAAATAAAAATAAAATAACTGAGTGTTGCAATGGGAGACCAGACTGAAGACAGAAACCGGTTCTCATAATGAGATACTATTCTTAATAACAGAGTGGTCAACCACTATGGAAAAAATTTTATAAGTATCCTATTGGACCTTACAATAAGTACTTACAGTATGAATCATTACATCATTTTACAAACAAAGAAACTGATTCTGATAAAATGTTAAGTAAGTTTTCAAAGCCATAGGGCTGTAATTTGATCTTTGTCTGTTAATTCCAAAGCCATGGCTGTAAACATTGATGGTCTCCTAATTCAAATGATTTTACACAATGGAGAGACATGGTCACATTTTTATAATATGTGGATTACACTGAGAGAATTTGTATAATGCGATGAAGTCTAGAAATAGAAAGACTAGTTCCTATTATTGTCTAGGACCACCACTCGTCTGTCAGTTTGCCATACTGTGGTGGCCACTGGTATTTCAAATGCCAGCAGGTTCACCCATGGTGGACAAGTTTCAGCAGAGTCTCCAGACTAAGATGGACTAGGAAGAAGGACCTGGAAGTCTACTTCTGAAAAAATTAGCTTTTGAAAACCTTATGAATAGCAGTAGAACATTATCTGATATAGTGCCGGAAGGTGAGTCCCCAGGTTGGAAGGCACTCAAAATACATCTAAGGAAGAGCGGCCACCTCAAAGTAGAGTTGACCTTAATGACATGGATAGAATCAGGCTTTCAGGGTTTTCATCTGCTGATGAGGCAAGACTCTAAATGTGAAGAAACAGCTGCAAACATCCATTAATAATAGGAATGTGGAATGTACAAAGTAAGACTCTCGGAAAATTGGAAGCCATCAAAAATGAAATGGAATGTGTCGTGGATTGAATTTTGAAAACACAAATCCTCACAACTAGACCAATAAGTAGCATAGTGATAAATGCAGAAAAGATTGAAGTTTTCAAGGATTTCATTTTACTTGGATCCACTATCAACATCGTGGAAGCAGCAGTCAAGAAATCAAAAGACACATAGCATTGAGCAAATCGCTGCAAAAGACCTCCGCCAAGTTTTGAAAAGGCAAGAGGTCACCTTGAAGACTAAGGTGCACCTGACCAAAGCCATGGTGTTTTCAGAGACCGCATATGCATGCGAAAGCTGGACAATGAATAAGGAAGACCAAAAAAAGAACTGGCACCTTTGAATCATGGTGTTGATGAAGAATATTGAATATACCATGGACTGCCAGAAGAATGAACAAATCTGTCTTGGAAGAAGTACAGCTAGAATGCTCCTTAGAAGTGAGGGTGGTGAGACTTCTTCTCACATACTGTGGACATGTTATCAGGAAGGACTATTCCCTGGAGAAGGACATCATGCTTGGTAAAGTATAGGGTCAGCGAAAAAGAGGAAGACCTTCAAGGAGATGGATTGATGCAGTGGCTGCAACAGTTGGTTCAAGCATAACAACAACTGTGAGAATGGTGCAGGACCAGGCGGTGTTTCATTCTGTTGTACATAGGGTCTCTATGAGTCAGAACTGACTTGCCAGCACCTAACGAAAACAACAACATTGTCTAGGAAATGATGAGGAACTGAAGCTGGGTAGTGGGAGTGGTGATAAAAAGCCAGAGATAGATTATTCAAGCAGAATTGGATTATTGATTGTTGCTGTTATTAAGTGCTGTCAAGTTGATTCTAACTTATAGCCACCCCTTGTAACAGAACAGAACTGCCCCATAGGGTTTTCTTGGCTGTAATATTTACAGGAGCAGAAGGTCAGGTCTTTTTCCTGCAGAACCACTGAGAGGCTTGAAACCACCAACCTTTCAGTTAACAATCGAGCATTTAATTGTTTGTGCCACAAGGGCTCCTTGGATTATTGATTAGAGGTGAGGAAATAGGAGAAGTCAGGAAAACTTTAAGTTTGGCTTTGGTGAATGGGCATATTACTTTCCAATCAACTTAATTGGAAGACAATGGAGGGAAAGGAGTTTTGGTAGAAAAAGTGAAATGGTCATGCAGAGTCTGGGGTACCTATGGGACATCTACGTAAAACTGTCCAGTAGACAGTTTGATCTGTGGGTCTGACACTCTGGTCAGGAAGATTCAGACTTAGGAATCATGATTGTAAAGGTTATACTTAAAAGCATAGTTGTAATTGAGAGCACTCAGAAAAAAGCACGATAAATACAAAGTAAAATGGAACAAGGAAGGAACTTTATTGAACACCAACACTAAATGTGAAATTACAAAGAGATGTGAAATAAGATAAAGTACAAAAATTGCCCATTGCTTTTGAAACTCAGCATTGATTTTAGTTACAGTAATGTCAATGTAAGGTTAAGCGCTTCTGCTAAATGAAAAGTTGGAGGTTTGAACCTACCAGCCACTCCATGGAAGAAAGATGTGGCAGTCTGCTTCTGTAAAGCCTTGGAAACAGTCTTGGAAACCCAATGAGGCAGTTCTACTTTGTCCTACAGGGTCTCCATGAGTCAGAATTGACTCCACAGCAACAGGTTTAATGTCATGGTTGGTTGGAGTAGAAGCCAGATTCCTGTTGGTTTCAGAGTAAATGAGAGATGAGGCTGTTGATGTTGGGAGTAAAAAGCTTAGATAAGAAGGAAAGACAGTGTGAAAGAAGGGAGGTATGTGTAAGGAAGATATGTGAAGTGGTAAAAGAGAAATAACAAAGATTTTAGGCTCATACCAATCTAGATCTTCTACTCTCTTAAATTGTTCGACCGAAGTTACTATCTGGCCAAACTCCTTGCCATCAAATAGATTCTGACTCTTAGTGATCTTATAGGACAGAGTAGAACCGGCCCATAGAGTTTCTAAGGCTGTAATATTTACAGAAGCAGACTGCCACATCTTTCTCCTGTGGAGCTTCCTAGTTGAGATCATATTTGTTCTCATGGTGCTCACATTCTAAGTGAGCAGAGGAGACCAGCATAAATAATTAAGTAAATAAATAGGAGAATGTCAGATGGTGTTATCTGAGAGGAAGAAAACACATATGGTGATATGACAGCAAGGGACTACAGAAAATTAGTATCACGATAGATGTCCCAAAGAGGTAACTTTTGAAGTGGGACCTTAATGACAAGATGAAACCAAGAACAAGAAATTTGGACATGTAAGTTCTGGAAAAAGGAATGACAAAGTGCAAAACTCTGAGGCTGGAACAAAGAGAAGAAAAGGAAAAAAAAAAAAAAAACAACTTGGTGTTTCATTTTAGAGAAAGAAACAACAAGGACAGAGGAAAATATGTTAAGGAAATAGTATAGTAGAAAGAAACAAAGTTGGAGAGATGGATCCATGCCTTTTTATTTGGATATTGAAGGTGACAGTAGTGGTGGGTAATTTATTGCAAGTACATGGAAGACCAGTGGAGCATTGTAAGCCTGAAACTAGCACAATCTCTGATCCATTCAGCACATACATCCAGCCTAATCTCTCTAACCTCCTGTGCATTACATTACACTTGTGTATAAACATGTATTAACTCCTAATCAGACATTAACTTCCATGAACCTGACCTCCCCAATTTTTATCTGCAGTTTCTTTCCCTTTTAGTTCCATTGTCACAGTGCTGACCTTCGACTCAGACATGATGTGCTAATGCTGGCTTCTGAGCCTCTCCTGGTGCATTTCCCCAATCTACGTCCCCTCTCTCCCTGCAGCTTACGGTGGTCTATCTTCCGTGAAATGCTGCAGCTAATCTACACACTTGGACATTCTCATTCCTGAGAGCATATAATCATTTTAACTTTCTTGGCACGTCTCACCACTTAAACCATAAGGTTCTTCAGGAAAGTTCACGATCAGTTCTTTAGAATTTGCCTTTAAAAAGGACTATCCCCCACTCTGATGTCCAACCCTTCCCACCCCCAATCTAGCCTCAAGAGGGCTATGAAAAGCTCTCAGATGCTCTCAGAAAATGAATTGCATTAAATGAAATTCAATTACAGTTCCTGCCTGGGCCTTGACCTTTTAGACCTGGGTTAAACTTTCTCCAGTGGGTCCCATCCTTGCTACTCTGCCTTCATCTTGCCTCTGCTACTTTCCCTGAAGTCTTTTCCCACAGCTCAAAAATATTCTAGTTCTGAGGAGTCCTTGTCTCATAAAGCCCTTCCTTTCCCACCAAAACTCTCCCAGAGATTTTTCTTTCCCTTTCAGAACTCCCAGGGATGTTTCTTTATTGCCTTGTTCCCTTATTTTCTTGTCAAAATCTTCATCTTTTGCAAAAAGTGAATGGGGAGCACACACACACACCCCAAACATAAAATCCCTGGGAATTCATTTACTTAAAGTTACATGAAAAAGAAACAATAGGAGTCTAGTAAATCTCATTTATTAACAGAACAATTTTATTAATTGTGCTGTCATGTGAAGAACAAGGCTTCTCTCTATTATGAGGTACTCAGTGATACTTGCGGGCCACGGCACTGGCCACACCAGTCGCCATCTTCTGCCAGGCAGCCTGCACCTGGGGGGTAAATTCTTTGCCAAAGTGGTTTGCCAAGACAATCACTAGCACGTTTCCCAGGAGCTGTAGGGGTAGAAAGAGATAACAGACACATTCCTATGGATTCATATAGTGAGCAGAGAGTTCCAGTCTGGCCTCCAAGAATCTGGCCACCCAACTGCCACTAAGGCCTAAGTCTATGTTAGCGTTCTCAAAAGCTGTGGTCTTACCCAGTTATTAAACATAGCTAATTTGCTTCCCTTTCTGTACTGACCCACATCCATGATTTCACTCTTTCTATCTTCCTACCAGCACCATCTCCGCATACTTTTTTTTTTTGGTGGGGGGAACAAAAATAAAACCTCATAGCTTTCTATTCCATACCCTCCTCTGCCACATATTCCAGTTGTTTCCCTCCCTCAGAGACACTTTGTCCTACTCCCAGAGTTTTAGGATATAAATTTGAAAGGAGGCATTAGTAGATTTTGCACAAATGCCTGCCCAGTACAGGAATAGCCTTAGTGACATATGCATGACCACCCAGTTTCTTTGTTATAATTAACCAATACATGCCTGCGTGTATCGTCCCACTGGACATTCTTTTTCTACCTCCTACATATGGGGGTCAGGCAGTGATAGATGCGTGAGGAAAGAAAGGCAAAATTCTTCTTTCTACAGGATTCCAATTACCAAAAGACATTGTTCTCATCTCTACACGAGTCTCCATTAAAAGCCAACAGAGTTTAGACAAGTCACTCTAGACTCCTAGAAGCACTTCTTGAGCCTTGTTACCATAACACTTAGTTTGAATTCAGCCTTCTGGAATTGTTTTTTCACTAACCCAAGATCTCCAAATATCTCACAGGCCATAGATGGTCCTACTTATGCTCAGATCAGTGCTCAGTTGTCTAAGCTGTCTGAGGCTAAACACAAGAAAGCACAAACATACCCTAGACTCATCCTGAAGTTCTCAGAATCCGCAAGCAGCTTGTCACAGTGCAGCTCACTCAGCTTAGCAAAGGTACCCTTGAGGTTGTCCGGGTTCTTAACGGCATCTCCAAAGGAGTTCAGCACCTTCTTGCCATGGGCCTTGACCTTGGGGTTGCCCATGATGGCAGAGGCAGAGGATAGGTTGCCAAAGTTGTCAAAAAACCTCTGGGTCCAAGGGTAGACAATCAGGAGCCTACAGGATAGAATCATAGCAGATGGAAAATCAGAGCTTGTCACAAAACTTGGTAACAGACCTGCATTCCTGCCTAGCTCAGCTTCCTTTATTCCCTCCCTTCCCCTATCCCCCAGAATCTACCTGCCCAGGGCCTTGCCTCCAGCCTCTTCCACATTCATCTTGCCCCACAGCCTTGTGATAGCAGCCTTCTCTTCAGCAGTAAAATCCACCATGGTGTCCGGTCTTGGAGTTTGTGGTGATCACAGATGTGTCAGATGGATGTATGTGCTGCAACTGGAACATGTGGCTTTTTATTCTTTATCCCTGGCCACTGGCCCTTTGTTCTTCCTTTTGCTATGAGGCTATTGGTCAAGGCTAGGCTATCATGCCAGGGGTGGGGTTTAGGCATGGAAGAGTTAAAATGGACATTCACATCTGTGATAGTGTCTGGAGGGCCCCTAGGAGGACTCTGATGCTCTTTTTTTTTTTTTTCTTTACTGGTTGCAGATCAATTACTCAAATTTGTTTCTCATTAATTCTTCCTTTAGCTACTCTCCTTCTCCTCCAACCATACAAAACTCTACGACTTCTTCACCAATTTTGTTGTCACTAACCCCAGAAATATTTGTAGATTAGTTGAAGCATGACAAAGAATCTGGAAAGTTCAGGTACTGTGAGGTAATAGGCATAAAAAACCCCAAAACCTGTTACCATCAAGTTCATTCCACCACATAGCACCCTAGAATCGCCCCATACAGTTTCCAAGGAGCAGCTGGTAGAGTCAAACTGCCGCCTTTTTGGTTAGCAGCCAAACTTTTAACCACTGCGCCACCAGGGCTCTGTCTCTTTCTTAGAAATCCTGAAAATAGGAAAGCCTAGAATCTTCTCAGCAATGTACTGTTTTGAGAAGTTTTAGTTTGTATGAGTAAAAGGGTTACCAATAATATGTTAAAAATAACATAGTACTTTATAGTTTATCACGGGCTTTTTATGGAGTATTACCTTATTTAAACCTCATAAGAATCTTATGAAGTAGGTGATATTGTTCCCATTTTCTGAATTTATAAAAAAGCAAGCAAACAAAAAATCCCTGAAGCCAAGAGTGGTTACCTAGTGAGTTTAAGTGGATTCACGTTGTTTTGTTTTTTAGCACAGTGAATGTTCTTTCCAGACACCACAGCCACCTTTTTAGGTGAGATTTGATTGTTGTTCTTATTTGTTTGGTTTGTGGGTTTTTTGTTTGTGTGTTTGTGTTTCATTTTGTGTTTTTGTTATTTGAAGATGAGAGGCCATTAAGTTTAACATGTACAGCTTTGAAGATTCTAGACATTGGTATTTTGTGCTAGGCAATTGTCCTCTCTGATGGTATTATTTAGAGCTGTTGGGTAGTGAAAAGCATTATACCTGAATAAAGTGTGTCTGTTATGGTTTTGTAAGTTTTGTCTGTTTATATTGACCTTGCAGCAACTGATTTGTTATTAATAACTTATTAGAACTGTTCAAAGTGTGATAAATCATCTTTCACAAATTTAGCAATGAATGCGTTCTTTATGATGGTATGTACTGACCCCAAACAGTCTTCAGATGATGGCTGCATGAGTTGCCTAAGCCCCCAAAATATTCAGCAGGTGCTTGTCTTGTTTTTGTAAGCTATAAATATGCATATATAATTTGTTGCTTTAGGCAGAGACCAATTCCTCAAAATTTGCTGCACAGACGGAGTCGTTTTTGAAGAATTTCAAATGAATCTTCTTATCCTTATAAGTTTTTCTTTAACAAGTCACTACCTTCTTTAACCCTTCAGTTTTATTGTGAAATGAGTAATTGGCATTTAGAGTCCTTGCCAAACAAACTTCACTCCTTTGTGTGCCTCTAATAAGCAGACAACAATCTGATGGAGGAAGTAAAACTCTCAGCTCCTCATTAACTGGAGATGCAGGCATCTTATCACGCAAGGCAGGAATTCTGATGCGAACAAGTATAAGTCTCATTCAGTTAGGGGTGAAATCCGAGGGAAAAGTGATGTGATGATCTTTGGAATAGATGCTCTGTGGCTCAGATTGAGCCAATGTTTTCTTTAGCTGACAATAAACCAAAAAAAAAACCCAAACCTGCTGCCGTCGAGTCGATTCCAACTCATAGCTCACGATAGTCAGGGGGAAGTGATTCCCATGAAGCATCAGCTTGAGTGTAGGAATACAGTAGTGTCAAGTAATCTAATACAGAACTGAACCCTTAAATCAGTATCTATGTACCTGCATCTGCGTGAAACAAAGCACATCTCCTCCTCTGAGTGGAAGTGTTCACCTCCGTATCAGTGTATGTATGTCTGAACTAGATATGTGTATATCCTGCTGCATAAGTGTGTGTGCTGGCTGGTGGACCCAGGTTTTGGCATGGTGTAGTTCTTCTCTTCTTGATGAAGACAGAAGTAAAATGTTTTTTGACAAGTACTGTGGATTTGAATGAGTTGTATGTAGTGAATATTGGATCCACTTGTAAGCCAGCCTTAGTCCAAGACGTAACATGAGGTAGTATCTCCTTTGCTTCTGCTGTGTACTTGTTAAACCAACTTTAAAGAGGCAGAAGCTCTTATAGTTGACAAATAGTCTACACATTGTCACAGCTGCATTAGACGCTTTTCTCTCTAATTCAGTGCAATTTTTTACAGGTTACATTTCTAATATGTCAGGGAGAGTTACTGCATGTTATTATTTTATTTTACTTTTCTCTGAAAGTAATAAGGTGATCTAAGACCTTGCTAGATTGTGATGTCTGAAGTTTGGGAAACATGGCTTGGTTATTTGCCCCTGAGATTAGACATGGTAATTATATACAAATGCAGATTAAGAAGTATTCTGTGCAATTGATTAGAGGATCTCTCTATCTTCGTATTATGTATCCTAACCTATCAGCATGTCTGAAATTATAATATTATAGGTAGAATTCTTTCCATCTTCATGATCCCATGTGAAATCTATGGCTGTTCATTGACAGGGATGGCTAAAAGTTCTGAAGGAGGAGATTGTCAAGATCTTAGTAGCTGTTTTCCTGTTATCTGTGATAATTTGTGAGCTTCCAACCTAAGGGTGAGTGGGAGAGTTTTTGTTGGTATAGAGTACAGAGTCTTTAAAACTAGAAGTCTTATAATGGGTATAGACAGGTCTTCAACCACATCAGGTAATTCTACTGGATTATGTGGGTGGAGCCTGGCCTAGAAGGATAACTCAGAGGCTGGGATCCAAGCCTCTGAAGGCCTTAAGAAATGAGTGACTCTTAATTGCTTCTCCTCAGATTGAAGGACTTTTATGATCGCTCTTCTGTCAATGAACTCCCTATCTTTCCAGAAACCCAAACAGTGATCCAACAATCACATATAAGTATTGCTTTTCTCTTATGCTTTTGAGGCAATCACTTCCAAAAGCTTACTGACTCTTCTTTGTCCATAGGTGTTCCACTCTTCCATTTTCCCCATGTAACTGTGTCTGACATTGTGAATATCCTCATCTTTAAACTTGGTTTTTCTCAAAAATCATATAATATGTTTTCAAATATTCATTCAACCAGTTTTTATTGAGCAATGTTCTGCCATACATTGTTCTATGTCATGAGAATTTAAGAACAGTGAGTCAGAGAAGGAAATTGCCTTCATAGAGTTTATATCCTACAGTTTGTGGGTTACAGAGAATGAAGAAGTAAACTAATCAACAAAATAATTTCAGATAAAATTATTTGCTGTGAATAAAATTAATATCTGGACTTTATGTGACTGAGGCATGATTATGTCAGAAAGGGTCTCTTTGAGAAAGTATTATTTGAACTGGGACAAGAAGGAACCTGCCATGGGAAGATACTGAGAAAGAAATTTTCTAGAATTTTGAATAGAAAATACAAAACTCTGTGGCAGGAAAAAATCAAACTCTCAGTATGATAGATAAATAATAGCCCTATGAGATCAATATGTAATAGTAAAGGTGAGAATGGCAAAAGATAAAGCTGCAGCAGAAGCACAGGCTCAATAGCTTAGAATCTATCATTACTGATGTTGAAGTGGAAGCCATTACAGGATTTAATTCTGGTAATGACATAATTTTTAATCCTTTTGTACTCTTAGCTAGATTAATGTCCTAAGAATAACCTGTACGTCACAACACTATTTTACTCAAGTGACTTCTATTGCCTATTGATAAGAATTAGTTTATCATTAATATATTAAATATCTTGAGTCATCCAGGCCCATTTGTGCGTGTGTGTGTGTGTGTGTGCACATGTGTGTGTATGTTAAATATGAATTTGTTTTCAACGAAGATGTGCTTGGACTGGCAATACCTAGATCTATTTCTAGATCCCTAGGAATAAAGAATGTAGCTTCTTCCCACCACTCCATTGTTACCACCCTTGAGCCCTTCATGGTCCTTAACCTTAGCAGAGCCAGATTAATAGTTGAGGTACAAGAAAAGGAAAAGAGATTGATTGATTAAAAATGCTACATCACTGTCATTTGTTGACTGTCTGACTAGATAAAAAGTTTTGGTGCCATGAGTCACTCTTATTTAGTGGCCTTGATGAAAGACTGCAGGGCTTAGAGACCAGTGCTATTAATATCCTATGACTATAATTGTTACCGCAATAACGCGGATTGGAGCCACCTGCCGCAATAGCCAATTCTGAGACGGGGTGAGGTGAGGAAGCAAGACGTTTATTATATACCTATATATAGGGGACAGAGGGGAATAGATTCCTCCAAAAAACCTGTCTCCCCCACTGGAGATCAGCTGAAGGCTTTTGTAGGGACAGGATTATGGATCTTAGAAGTTTGTGTTAGTTTCCCTTTGAGGTGGTGATGTCTTAGATGAGTTAACCTTCTACTGGTATTCTTAGAGGTCATCTGGTGACATCCTTGGGGGTTATCTGGTGACATCCTGCTTTTTCTTATTACAAGATGGGTGCTTTGTTTGGTTTGTCATTCTTAGATCATTATCACTTGTTTTCCACCCTCCAGGGGGGAACATCAGTTCATCTTAAACCTTTTGTAGAGACTGGAACCAGAGGGAAAAGCAAAATCACGAGACAATGTGGCGGTTAGCAATGGGGAGTAAATGATAGTGAGCTGGGCCTATGCAGCCTCTTCCATAATGACCATCGGACTTTCAGTACTATTGTGGGGACACGAGGCACAAAATTAGAAAGTAACCCACAGGACAAATTCTGATCAGTGTATGGGGGCAATGAAATGCCTAACAGTTAAGCTTGCCAAAATCTGACGTTATAAGTTGGAAAGTGTGAAGATCTCAAGCCCTGATATGAGAGGTTGACTCTGAACCTGAAGGTCAGGACACCCTAAACCCATTGCCATCAAGTCTATGCCAACTCATAGCGACCCTATAGGACAGAGTAGAACTGCCCCATAGAGTTTCCAAGGAGAGCCTGGTGGATTTGAACTGCCAACCTTCTGGTTAGCAGCCATAGCTCTTAACCACTATACCACCAGGGTTTCAAAGACACCCTGAGTATCCTAGAAATAGCTCCCTCAAGAGAGATTCAGTTAATGCCACTCCCACACAGGGAACCACTAGAATTCCCATGTCAATGGGTATCCCCCTCCTATTATATTCACCCAGGCTAGGGGCTTTTAGTCATATACCACCACCTTTTTCTGATTCTACACAACCGATCAAATTCCATGTCCTTATTCTACCTTTGCCCATTCTTCACTTTTTGAAGACTTCCCTACTCCCCTTTAGTTTAGGCCACCATGTCTGTTCTAGAACACTACACTATGTCTAGTCTCACAACTTCAAGTCTATTTTGTGTGCATAAGCAGAGTACTTTCCCCCCAAAATCCTATTCCTTGAGTCACTTAAAATCTTAAGAATATTTATTGGTTACCCTGGTGGCATAGTGTTTAAGAGCTCAGCTACTAACCAAAAAGTCAGCAGTTCGAATCCACCAGCTGTTCCTTGGAAACCCTATGGCGCAGTTCTACTCTGTCCTATAGGGTTGCTATGAGTTAGAATCGACTCTACAGCAACGGGTTTGGTTTTTGGTTATTGCCAATAGCATAGTAATAGCTTCCATTTTTATATTCAATGTCTTGCATTATCTGGTCTTTCCTGATATTCTACCTTATTTTTTACTCTTCCCTCTACTTCCAGCCCTGGTGGAGCAAGGGTTATATGCTCAGCTGTTAACTGAGAGGTTGGTGGTTTGAATCCACCCAGCCACTCTATGGAAGAAAGACTTGGCAATCTGCTCTCCTAAAAGATTACAGCCTAGAAAACCCTATGGGGCAGTTCTGCTTGTCACATGGGGTTGCTGTGAGTTGGAATCAACTGGATGACACTTCACAACAATAACAATTACTTCCAGGAGACCAGTGTCATGCCAACCACCAAGCCATAGCTTGCTGGTTTTACACTCTGAAGCTTTGTTAGTACCTTATGTCTTACATGAAGTCTTCATCATCCCCCCAAAAAAAGTTTGCACTTATATTTTACCTCTGACTTTATTTTAGTACATATTATAGTCTATCAGAGGATAATGCACAACTGTCATGTGTATTAGCTTTGGCTTCCCACTGAAAGAGTAGAAACTTTCAGGAAGGAGTAGGCTGTAGTTTGTTCATGGAGCCTTTCTTGGAAAGTTCCCAGCCATCTCCCAACTCTGCCGTTTATCTCCAAGTCAACCTCACATGCTAGCTACTTAAAAATATGCATTAATACAAATTGAATAGTAGTCCTAGCCTAGATGTTGAATCCTACAAAGCCTTGTTTTTAAAACTGAACTCTGGCGTGTACCACAAATAAGTTTGTTTTTTTTTCTGAGGCACTGGTTACTACCTTGTTTCTTCTTCCCCCCTTTGGAGTAAGTTCCTCCCATGATTCACCACAAGGTCTTGTCCATTTAACTAAAGCCTTTTTCCCACCCCAAAGAGTCTCTTATCCTTCTTGGCTTCCTCCCTGGCCTTTCAGAATCCTCCCATAACTTCTACCTTACTTTGATGAGTCCCCGTACCCTCTTAAAGGAGATTTTGTTTCTTCCTATGTCTTTCCCTTCCCTCAACCAATAAGCCCTTCCTCCTTTAACCCAAGGGTAAAATATGGAGAAAATAAAATATCAATCCTGATTACTGAGTAGAATGTGCTTTATTAAACAGAAGCTGTGAGTTCAAGGCTGAGCCTTAGTCCCCATGTGAAAAATAAGGGTGTTGGAGACATAGGGACACTTGCACACTGGACAGAGGACTCAGTGGTACTTGTGGGACAGAGCATTGGCAACACCAGACACCAGTTTCTGCCAAGCAGCCTGCATATCAGGGGTGAATTCCTTGCCAAAATGAGAAGCCAGAATAATCACCAGAACGTTGCCCAGGAGCTGTCAGGTAAAAGAGAAAATGACACAGAGGCATGCTGAGTACAAGTTTCTAAAGAGAATTTTCAGAAAACAATGGCTAAATACCTACACTCCCTGCCTGCTCCCTATCTCAAGCTGCTCCAATAAACTCAGATAAAATATTATCTAGGTTCAATTTCATTTTTACACTTTTATTCAGTGTTATGCCTACACATATCCCCACCTTCTCTCCCTGTTGCATCATTTCATTTGCCACCCTTACTCATTTACAAGTTGTCTCACTCTTGCAATCACAGAATTTAAGTGCAACAGCGGTTCTCAGAGGCAATTTTGTTAAAATCTCCAACCAATGCAGAAACAAGCCTCAACCTGGTATAACACTAACAGCAAATTTAATATATGTATTTTTAATTTGTTGTATTTTTATTTGAGAAAAATGTCTTTATATTTTTCCCAAAATATTTTGCTGTACTTCAGTCCTGAAGATTCACACAAAATAAGGCTTATCTCCTTCCCTGAGATAGCCTTAATCTACCTAAGGCCAAATTTTATTTCTTCTTGCACAAGCCTGCTATTCTCCAGTATTCTTCATGATGAACACATCCTGTCAAAAGTCTAAAATTTTTTAGCAAACTCAGACAGCTAATAACCCTTCCTGGCTTTACTTCTACTCCAAAAGGTCATGATTACGCTACCCAGAAGCTTGTTCTCCTAACACTGAACTCAACCCATGATTTTAGAGTACTTTGTTGGCCTTTCCAATCAAAGATTTGGCTTCTATTACTGTCCCAATGTAAAAAGCAAAAAAGAGTATATGAGTATCTCTGGGACTCACCCGGAAGTTCTCAGGATCCACATGCAGCTTGTCACAATGCAGCTCACTCAGCTTCGCAAAGGCATTCTTGAGGTTGTCCATGTTCTTAACAGCATCTCCAAAGGAGGTCAACACCTTCTTGCCATGAGCCTTGACCTTGGGGTTGCCCATGATGGCAGAGGCAGAGGACAGGTTGCCAAATGTGTCAAAAAACCTCTGGGTCCAAGGGTAGACAACCAGGAGCCTACAAGATGGAACCATAGCAGATGAAAATCAGAAACTCTCAGAAATCTTAAAGAGATTTCTGGTCAACTTGCCAGGCTCATCTTCCCTCATCATCTCTCCCTGCTTTAAGACCAAAAGCCTACCTTCCCAAGGCTTCGCCTCCAGCCTCTTCCACATTCACCTTGCCCCACAGACTTGTGACAGCAGACTTCTCCTCAGCAGTAAAATGCACCATGGTGTAGGATTTGGGAGTTTGCTGATGATCACAAATGTGCCAGAAACAGGCTTGTCCTGCTATTGGAAGATGGGACCTTTTATTCTTCACTGTGGACCTTCTGACTCCCTCTTCCACCTCTGATACTTTAAGGTCATTGGTCAAGGCTGAGTTGTGTCTTTTAGGGGTGGAGCCAGGTCTCAAGATGGTCAGTAGTGAAGACTGTCCATTGACTTTGTGATAGTGTGCTGTGACTCCTGAGATAACATTTCTTTGTTTGCTCCTTCTCCATCCTCAACAAAAGTTTTTGTTCATTCCCCCTTTTCACCCTCTTCTCTCCTCTCATGCCATACTTTAGGATGGTGCCAATCTCTCCCATTCCTCTTCTTCAGGAAAGACCCACAGAGAGGAGCTAAACCCAAGATAGGGAAAGAGTTCTGTTTAAAGCAGGTATAATGGCTGAATATAAAGGATAGTGACAGTGGCAAGAACAGGGTCAAGAAAAAAAATATACAGCTGATGACAGACTCCTAGCCAGCTCTACCTCTCTTGAAGAATGAAATGTAACCAAGTTCTCTGGAAAGACGAGATCCATACATGGCTACTTTTGGAAGCTAAATAGGCTAGCAAGGGAAGCACATTGGGACTGAGACCTCAAGTCCAAAATACAATACCCAGTAGTGATTCCCTAAAAAGGACAAGCAGAACAAGACTATATTCTGTGCTTCCACGGAATCCTTTCTCTGTCCATTTTTGTGTGTCCTAAGAGGGCTTTGGCTACTTTGAGGGATTTCCCACAGCTCTTTTTTGCTTTTAGGTCCTGCCTATACTTTTCTCAACAGTCAGACAGCTGAGAAAACTGAATTTAATCTGACTAGGAATTGGGCTGTGTTTAATGTTTACTGTAGCTATCCCAAAAGACCAAACAAGCTGCTGTCCAGTCAATTCCAACTCATAGTAACCCTATAGAACAGAGTAGAACTGCCCCATAGGGTTTCCAAGGCTGTAATCTTTACGGAAGCAGACTGCCACATCTTTCTATCATGTAGCGGTTGGTGTGTTTGAACTGCCAGCTTTTGGTTAGCAGCCGAGCACTTAACGAGTGCACCACCAGGGCTGTAGCTATACACCCACTGCCACTGAGTCGATTCTGACTCATAGCAACCCTATAGGACAGAGAGAACTGCCCCATGGGGTTTCCAAGGAGTGACTGGTGGATTCGAACTGCCAACCTTTTGGTTAGCAGCTGTAGCTCTTTGTTTCTGTCTGTCTGTTGTATTTGGGCTTACGTAAGAACTTCTTAAGGTCCCTGGGTGGCAAAGCAGTTTGTACTCAACTTCTAACTTAAAGGTTGGTGGTTTAAACCCATCCATTGGTGCCACTGAAGAAAGGCCTGGGAATCTACTTCTATAGAGACTACTGCCAAAAAAAAAAAAAACCCTCTGGAGCAGTTCTACTCACTAGCACGTGGTTTTGCCATGATCAGAATCGACTGGATGGCAACAGAAAAAAAGAACTTCTGAAACAGAGTCTGCACCTTGCAGCGGTTTCACCTGTAATCTACTGTTTTTATACTTTAGTCCTATTGATGTGGTAGTAAAGAGTAGGGAAGAAAAGCATTCTATAATCTTGTGAATAAATCTCAGTCTTTCAGTGGGCTGAGTCCCTAGACTTAGACCTTCACTAGTGTTTTTTTAGCCTTTGTTTACCCCTTTGGATGAGACAGGAAGTCTAGAGGGGCTAGAGTTGGGTAAATGCCCTTTGCCCTTGGTGGGATAAAGCTCTAGTAAAGTCTTTTCTTCTGGAGAGTGAGTCTTTGTTATCGAGGATGCACTGGGCTTATTTCAAAATAGTTTCTTTTCACCTTCCCCTACCACAGCTTTGGGAGCCCTAGTGGTGCAGTGGTTAAGCATTTGGCTGCTAACCAAAAGGTCCACAGTTTGAATCTACCAGCAGCAACTTGGAAACTCTATGGAGGAGTTCTACACTGTCCTAGGGTCGCTGTGAATTGGAATCAACCTGATGGCAATGGGTTTGATTTGGTTTTACCACAGCTTTGAGGGAACCTTTCTTAGTTTTTTACCATGAGAACTTGGAGGGATTCCTGCAGGTAAATCTGAGAAGTCTGTGGAGCAAGGTGAACGTGGAAGAGGCTGTAGGTGGGGCCTTGGGAAGTTACCCCCAAGACTGCAGCCCTCGGGAGATTCTCACTCTCATGTTAGTCCACCCTCAGCCTTTAACAGTTTTTCAAAATTACCACAGAAGTGTTCCTGTCAGCTTGTGGCATCACCAGCTTCTGCTCCAGGTGAATAGACTTTAGTTGCGTCTCTGTGGAAGCATCAGTCTCTCAAGATTATGGGCTGTCAATTTACCCTGTAATCTCAATTCTCTGCTAGGTTCAAAATAATGTGTTGATATTCAGTTTGTTAAGCTTATTTCTTGTTTTAAGGATGGAAGTAATGAAGTGACAACCTGCAAACTCTTTACATGTCAGAGCTGAAACGAGATGTCTGAATTGACATATATTCAATTACATCCATGTGCATGAAGAATATTCCCTATGCCATTTAACTTAATCCAGTCACTATGAGTCAGAATCAACTCGATGACAACGGGGTTTTTTTTTTTTTTTTTTTTTGACACCTAGTAATATAATTATCCACATTTGCAAATAAAGAAACAAGCTCACAGAAGCAAAGTAACCTTGTCAAGATGACAGAGCTAATGACTGGGGAAGTAGTAAGCGCACAGTTGCACAAACTCAGCTTTGTCAAATCCAGAAAAGGCACCTCGTTGACATAATCTAGTTGCCCCTGCCTAGCTGTTGTGTCTGGATAACTCTCTGTTTGTATTCTTTCCCCCTCTATTATTCCCTTTGCCTCCGCCTGACATGGAAGTTTCTCCTCCTAGAGTTTTCTGTATTCTGGTGCCCCAACTCCTTCCTACCTTTTTCCATTTAGGGAAAGAACTTCCTCCCAAGTCTCATTCTCCAGAGTGCACCCATATTCCAAGTTTACCCAGAACTCTTCTCTTCCCTGCAAACCTACCCTTGATATTTCTTATCTTTTCTTATGGAATGACATACACTTTTGGCATGTGAAACTGTTTCCCTTGCCTTTTCTCCTCTGATTCTAATAGGAGTCTTCATTTGATTTGATGACTCTCCACAAACTGGTATTAGTCTCAGTCCCTGCCACACTTTCTTCTAATTTTTAACCATGAATATCTTTCTTTGCATATATTCTAACCACTGACCATCATAAGCATAACTAGGGGTTCCTAACCTTTTTGTTTTGTTTTCTATCATGGGCTAGTTTGGCAGACTGGCAACTACTAAATAATGTTGTGTTTCATTTTTTTCATGTATAAAGTAACATACCAAAAACCCAAAACCAAATGCATTGCCATTGAGTCGATTCCGACTCATAGCGACCCTATAGGACAGAGTAGAACTGCTCCATAGGGTTTCCAAGGAGCGGCTGGTGGATTTGAACTGCTGACCTTTTGGTTAGCAGCCGTAGCACACTGTAGCTCTTAACCACTGCGCCATCAGGGCCCCAAAGTAACGTATGTAGGATTGCGAAAGAGACCAATTATATTGAAATGAAGTTATCAAAATATTAAAATATAAAATTTACGATGTACTAATATATTCATTTTTTTATGACTGTGTTAAGTGTGTAGACCTAGTGGTAGGTCTACAGTTACAATGATTTCAAAATAGTGATGACAGTAAATATTATTTAAAGACATCTGCAATAACTGTATGAAAATATCTGTGATTTCAATCTGTAGTTATGCAAGAGGTACTGCTAATATTACAATAGTTTGTTGCTTACATTTGAAATTGAAGGAAAATATTAAATTTCAGTTAGAGGTAAGTAAAAATAAGGACAGATTTTCTTCCCACTAAATTTTACCAATCACCTTAGTGTTCTGTGGACCCCAGGTTAATACCTCTAGGCTAAACTGTATATGTCTACATATAGAAGACAAGATTCTAGACTAAGAGAGAAGATATTTGATCACAGATATGGGAGAAAACCAATGGGTAGACAATAAACAGCTGACTACTCACTGAAGAACATCCCTGGGGTATAAGGGAGTTTTCTGATCAATACAGGCAGGACTCCAGTGTGCCAAGACCAAGATTTGTCAGATCCACATTGTGAGAACTGTCACCTTTTTCTCAGATCTAAGGTGTGAGACTCACCTATAAAACATACATAAATTCAATATTTACATTTCTGCCTAGGGTAATTCAAAGAGGACTCTTCTTAGTGCAGGACTTAAAATTCTGTATCTAGAAATGATTGAAAACATGAAATTCTGTGCTAAGATTCTACCTTTGCTGCTAAAAGATTGGGAAGTCTGTGACTTGCTGGTGATTTTCAAATACTAAAAAAAATAGGTATTGACAATTTCTTATACAGGCATGTTATCTTCAGTACTTTGAGTATTCAGTATTGAAGATAACGGAGCATGTTTCTGAAATAACAACTTTGTATCTCTCTGAGGACAGGTAAATTTGAGGTTCAGCAGGTAAGCAGGCCTTAAATGGAAGCAGGAATAATGAATAGTTAGACTCCATCCATAACAAGATCCGCCACCATTAAGAGAATCCAGGATGCTTTGTTTTGCATGGTGGAACTGGGGATGGGTTTAATGACTATTCCCTCTAGAAAACCCCTTTTAACCCTTGCAAATTCTAGCTCCAACATGGTTCTTTCCCAAGAGAAATCCCCTTTACCCTAACTTGTTGAATGTGAGGTATCTATCAGGGAAAGGAACAGCTCTTTCTCAGATCTACAGACCAACATTCATATGCTATAGCTTTTCTCCTAATTCTATCCTCATTCAGGCCCAACATCACCAGCCTCTTCCTGCACCTGTTTTGTTTGTCTGTTTGTCCATTTGTTTTGTGGGATTTTATTTTATTTCATTTTGTTTTGTTTTTAATCAACACAGGCTGGCGGATTCAGCATTTTTCTCCTTCTGGGGACTTGAGCTGGTGATAGCTG